ACACACACACACACACACATCTGTTATATAATAAAATAAATGAAATATAATTCTGGGCAACAATATTCTGCGCAGACGTTTAACGCTCGACGCTTGACGCTTGACGCTGTCATGTAAAGGCACCTTAATGCTGCCATGTAAAGGTACCTTAAGAGCCAATCACGTTCGATTGCTACTGAGCGGTTTTCTCTGCTGAACGCGCCCAATGACGTCATTGCATCGTCTCTGCCAATAAAAGGCTTGAATTCATAGTAAAATATATTGATTAATTGAACCGGGTTTGGATTAACTCGTTCATTCGAAAACGCTATTAGTTCAGTTTTATTTTTCTTCTTCCAATGTTTTATCTTTCTCCCGTCTGCTTGGCAGACGCGGCTTTAAGGCAAAGATGACACCATAGACATAGTATATCTAGACCGAGCGTTTGCCTTTATTTAAGGAGTGGGGGCCGATGCCCACGCAGAAAAGGACATACTCTGTTTCATGCCCCTTCCTAGCATCTCATTGGTAATTTTCTATATGGAGGGGGACAAACTCACCAATGAGATGCTAGGAAAAGAGACAAACAGACCTCCCATATAGTATCTCTCTTTCTACAGCGAGCGCGCGTTTGTTTATCTCGCAATGCTCAGTTCAGTCTATATATCTATGGTATAGATACATTGGGTGCGTTCCAGGAGCACGCTTTTAACGCTATGAGCATGCTTTGTCCTTGTTCAACTTTCCATAAATAACAAAGATAGAACACGCTTTCAGCGCGTAAGCGTGCTTTTGGAACGCAGCCACTATGGGTCTGTTCTTTATAGCTGAACTGGCTGCACTAGTTCAGTTCCCATTGGAAGGAGAAAAAGATAAACTCTGAACTAGTGCAGCCAGTTCAGCTATAAAGAACAGACCCCTTACACAGTCGATTATTCCGTCGAATATTCGACTGTGATTGGTCGATTTGCTTGCGACTGGCGACATGCGATCAATGTAGAACGGGCTTTATGTTCAATCTTCAATTTTCAATGCGTAGTCTGATACGGGCTTAATGCTAATTAGATTAAATTGTTATATGCTTATATAAATTGCAACAACAAAAATTTTCTTATAAACATCGAGTCCAATAGAATTTTATGCATTTTGTAATTATAGAATTTAATATATGAATTATTTATACATACAACAACGATGGAGAAAGAAAGGTATGTAGAATTTTTTAATGAGATTTTAGAGAAGGTAAAACTTGTTTTGTACTTCCGATTTTGTTAAAATAAGTAAAATCTGTGCTTTTCTTGTGCGAAACAATGTATTTAATGTAAAAAAAACTATTAAATTTTATCATATTAAAAGTTATTACCGTTTAAACTGTTATCTTCTAGGGTTAGGATTTCTATAAATGACATTACGAATGTGAATAGGAATTTTTTTTATTTCAGTTCTGTATAATATAAATATATTCAATTCTTTTTTAAGGATACGGGTTACACTTTATATATTTTCTAAAATATACCGAATCTTAACTCTTGTGTAAGTCACATTTTTTTTTTTGCTCTGTTCCTGGTCACATAGGTCACAATGTCTTGTTGCAATTTTAGCTGTCTTAAAGTGCTTGAAAAAAATCTACAAATATTTATATATATTCCTTGAGACATCTGTAGAAAATGAAATGTTTTTCTATTTACAATGTCAAATGATATTGTCAAAATTGGTTTACATATCAAAAAATTTCGAATATGTATAGATTTTCACTGAATCTTTTAAACACAAAGTCAATTTTTCCAACAAAAATATACAAATGTTGCAAATTTTAACAATGTTATGCATGTTTTGATAGTGAATGTTATTAAAATATTGTATATTGCAATATACTATTGCAGCAAGTTGAGTATCGATTACAATGTCTTCAGGTTTACAATGCTTCTTTTGGAACCAGGGGAAATATTTTTTGAAGATTATAGTGTTCAGATGAGAAGACTAGATGCTAGATTTTCTGAAAATAAAAACTGGATGGAAGGGAGATTGAAGCTATGCTCTAAATCTTTGGTATTTGTAAATAAAGATATTAACCAACCATTAATCAAGATTCAACTCAAAGAGACTACATTTGTGGAGCAATGTACATCGAGCAATAATATAGCAGGGTAGAGCAAGTGCATATTGAATACAGCCAGAAACACAGAAGGCAAAGAAAAAATACATAGAGTAGGAAATACATAAGCTGAAAAGTAGTTTTTTTCTATCTATGTTAGCTTTTATCTGTCTCTTTGCATTATTATGTACTTTGGCATTATTATTACTATTGTTTATTTGTGTATATATTGTTCATTTGTGTATATTTGAATTTACTGTAGTAATATGCTGTCAGTGGAATGTAAACAACATGTGGAAATGCTGGAGAAAAATATATTAGCACCATACAGATTTATACATCAAAATACTATGTTTAATTTCTGTTTCAATTATGCAAAAATAGAAGATTGTCTTCCACAAATCTTGCAGTTGCATAGAGCAGCAAGTTTAGCAACCGCGGAACAAAATGCTATGGTAATGTCCATTCATTCATGTTTAAGGGTTTTCAAAGAAATATGGATATAATATTAAGGCTTTCTCACGATAATGCTTTTAATTTTGAAGATTATGGCTATTGTACACTCCAGACAATCACGCGTATCCTTTGACACATCGTGGCTGGAAGATTTGTACGAGCAAGTAGTTTTAGAGACACAAACGAACAAAATATCACCACTTGTGGTAAATCCAGGCAGAGTATTACTGACTACCTCGAGAATTTATTTTCAACCTTACAATAATATGGATCAGGTAATTATCGCCTGTTATTACACTATAAATGGTTTTTTATCAGTCTTTTTTTTTTGTATAACCTTAAAAGAAAAAATGACATTGTATTAATTGCAACACTGATTATTTTTCAGCATCCTGTCCTTAAGATTCAACTGAAAGATATAAGAAATATTATAAAAAGAAGATTTCTATTGCGACAAGTGGTAAATATTTTGTAATTCAAAATACTGTACCATCATATTATATATATATAGTGCATAAATGATGCATTAAGTATATAATATTATACATAAATGTGTGTATGCGTGTGACTATACCATCATATTATATATATATATATATATATATATATATATAATACTTTAATAAAATTTTTACAAAGAGAAGCAGTATTAATGTAATTCTGCTTTTAGGGTCTTGAAATTAAATGGACGCGACAAGCTGATAATAAATTTGAACATTTATTTTTGTCATTTCAAAATCAGGATGGTAGAGATAAGCTATATGAAAATTTACTTAAACAATCAATGGTTTCTCTAGAAACTGTACCCCAAAATCAAATGAAAATGAGATGGCAAAATGGATATATATCGAATTATGATTACATTTTATATGTAAACAGGTGATTATAAGAACTCTCAAATTGATTATTAATAGTATGACAAAGAGAAAAGATAAATTATTTAAAGAATATATTTATAATTCATATTACATTGTTTCAGTTTGGCTGATAGAACATTTCACGATTTGACACAATATCCAGTATTTCCATGGATTATACAAGACTATACTTCTACTGTGTTAGATTTAAATGACACTCGAATTTACAGAGATCTTTCAAAACCTATTGGCGCATTAAATCCTTCTCGTTTAGAGAGACTAAAAGTATATGCGTTATATATTAAATATTTTTCTGCATACGAGATATTTATGTATGATGAGATATAATGTAGTTTACATATATATATACAAATATTTTCGTAATATACAGAATATTCCAAATTTTCTCTATCAATTCTTAAGCATTCCTCAAGTTAAAGTAAACTTTATGTGTAGATATAAATATAAATATTTTTTGTTATTATTTTGTGTTTCAATTTTCATCATCGTTTGAAATTTTATCGAAGTACAAAACCAATCATTTTTAATCTTCTATTTTTGCATTATTGCAGGAACGATATTTGGAAATGTCTGATCCGAAATTCTTATATGGTTCTCATTACAGTGCACCAGGTTTTGTATTATTTTACTTAGTACGGAAATATCCTCAATATATGCTCTGTCTACAAAATGGAAGATTTGATCATCCAGATAGAATGTTTAACAGGTATATGTCAAACTTTTTTCAACCATTTGATATTAATTTGTTGATAATATTTTACAATATTGATTATATACCATAACAATGCAATGTGTGAAGTGAAAGGAATTTATGACTATAGAAAATTGTAATTTATATTTAAAAAATACACGTTTTTATTTCGTAAGAAAAGGCAAAATATATAAGAACATATAAGAAACTTTTTAAGAAATATAAAAGTCACATAATTACTCTGTCAAATGTGCAGAAACGATTTTATGTTTCACTTTTACCAACAAAAACACCTAACAGTATAGCCGACGTGTGGAAAAATGTTTTGGTGAACATGTCTGACTTTAAAGAACTGATACCGGAGTTTTATGATACGAGCAATGCCGGTGATTTTTTAGCGAATAGTTATGGTATCGACTTTGGCTATCGACACGACGGTACAAAGATAGGTGATGTACAACTTCCTCCTTGGGCAAAAGGTAATGATAAATGTTTATTTATATTTCTATATCGTTTGTTTTAATAAATAATATCATACATTATTGTTCATATTTCTTAAGTTATATAAAACTTTTAAGCCTATTAGCAAATACTTTTATTTTAATCACTATTTGTCTCTCAAGAACCATTTCTCGAGATAATAAAATAACAAGAATAATACAGTAAAAATATTTGTCCTACATTATTTATAAGTGATCAATTATATAATGAGAGAGATATATATGTATAATTTAATATCAAATAGAAATTAACAGTCAATTGATATACTTTAGGACCAACTGATTTTGTACAACAATTAAGAAATGGCTTAGAAAGCGATTATGTTTCTCAAAATCTTCATCATTGGATTGATTTAATTTTCGGATATAAACAAAGAGGAATTGAAGCTGAAAAGGCCGACAATGGTAAAAATTCGATATTTTATATATATCTTAGAGAGAAAGAGAGGAGGAGAGGGGGAGGTGGGGGGAGAGAGAGAGAATATATATACATGTATACATATACAGAATATATATTAATTGGAATAAATCAAATTAAACTATAACTAAAACATACATATAACATTAAAACATACAAACAAAAATATCGTTGCTTTCAAGATATCCACTATATAGTGGATATATATATATATATATATATTTGCTTTAATTGCAGTATTCTTCCATTTATGCTATGAAGGGGCAGTAGATTTAGACACTATACGAGATATAAATGACAGACATGGGCTCGAAGTGCAAATTATGGAGTTTGGTCAGATACCAAAACAAGTTTTTACTTTACCTCATCCTAAACGTTTAGCATCAGCTCCAAATTTATTATATAGCGAAACATTATTGACTTTGCCAGAAACAATGACTTCAGGTATTGTGTCTTATATATTTTCTCTTTATCACACACACATACATAAGTGTATATACATATATATATATACATGATTTATATAATATGATTATATATGATTTATATAAAATATGATTTACATTAAATACTACTTTTAATTTTTTCAGGAAATCCATGTATAAAAGAAAAATTAATTAATTTCGCGGAATTGGTAGCGTTTCAAGCACACAAAGATTGTGTTACTAGTATCATACGAAAAAATACAACGAGCAATGAAATCATATCAGTAGGACAGGATGGAATGCTTAAATTGTATAATACAAACGAGAGAAAACTGACGCATAGCATTTCCTTGTCTTTATTGTCATTATCATCTTGTATCTCGTATTATACATTGTCGCAACGTAATATTCTCGTAGCAGGATCGTGGGACAATACCTTGTAAATATGATAATAATTAGATTTTGTGCACAATTATAATAGAGATATAAATATATTTTTATATAGATTGTGTATTTGAATTTTCATTGCTATAAACATGTATAATACGTTTGTAAATTTTGTGATACACGAATTTAGAAACACGCATATTTTTCGTACATATAAAAAATGATTCCATATACCTTCGCAAACCTTAATATAGTTTTTTTTTTCAGGATATTTTACGATATCGAGTTTGGCAGGATAATCGATGTCCTTCAAGGACACGAAGATGCAGTCTCATGTTTAGCTTGGAGCCCTAAGCATCAAGTAATTATATCTGGGTCGTGGGATTGTACTGTAAAAGTTTGGCATGAGTATACTTCTGGATCAAAAATTAAACCTGCGGAATGTTTTATCGCGCAATTAGATCATGATTCCAAAGTAACTTGTATTAATATATCGAGGTAAATTGTCGCAATGTAATATGTCGTAGTGTAATAAAAAGAGGCTAATATATTCTTATATTCTCTTCTCTTTACACTTTTCTAACAATTTGAACTAATTTCTACTAATTATACTATATATATGTTTATATTTATTATTTTTCTGTCGAGTTTACTTGCATCTTGTTACATGTTTATAAATTGAATAAATCGTTTTATACTAATTGCAGAGATGATACTATGTTGGTATCTGGTACAGAAGATGGCGAATTGTGTTTGTGGAACATGGATAGTTACAATTTACAAGCTACTATTAAAGGTAAATATATTTCTTGGTCTTTCTATATGTTTTTATACATTTCTTATTCTTTATCTTGTTTGGCACAGCATGTAATTTGTTAAGTAGTTATAATTTATAATATAGGAATCGCAATAATGAGAAACTTACAAAATATTATATAAGTTAATTATGCAAATGCACACTTTGTCCATTTAATCACTCATAGCCATAAATCTTATCTATATTTATAATTCATTTTTATAAAAGATGCAATTAAAAAAAAAAGTCTATCGATGATACGAGGACGAATATTTAATTGTGTGAATAAATAAATAGCATAACGTGCGAATGTCACTTTTAATTTTTATTGTTAGAGATTTCTTTTTGATAATGAAAGAAAATATAATGATGTTATTTATTATTCTAATATTTATTGTTAAAAGGCCACGTATGCAGGATAAATGCGGTAATGTTCGATAAACAGTGTAGCAGCGTGATATCATGTGCGGAAGACAAAGTATTAAGTATAATCGACGTTCGAACAAATACACAGATATATTCCGTCAGTTTAGAGAGCGAACCATTGACGTTAACTTGGATGAAAACATTTCTCTTGATAGGCGATAATGATGGAAATCTTAATATATGGAATCATCAAGGGGCTGTATTCGTTTCGCGAATACAATGTCACGATGGTAAATATTGTAGATAAAATAAAATATTTACTCAATAAATTGCTATTTATAGCAAGAAAATTTTAATACGCTTTTAATTATGTTTTTTTATCTGTGATAAAATATGTAGAATAAATTGTCTTAATATATATGTATATTATGGTACACATCTTTTTCAGGGCCGCTTTGCGCCCTAGCTGTGATTGCAGATAGTAACTTGATGATAACGGGCGGGAAGGACAGGAAAGTTATCGTATGGGAATGCCATGAGCAATGACAGTATTATACTAATATAGATAATTATTACTAATGTATAAAGGAAATTTGATGTAAAAAGAGGGACTATAATATAATATGTTTATTACTTATTTGTTATACATTAAGAATTAAGATATACAATATTTTTTTATAAACATAAAGGTGTTCGACCGGCCAATTTCTATTAACGAAGCAGCGGATTTGTTATTTTTTAACTTTATAGAAATTGTTTTATAAATCTTTCCGATATGGTTCATCGAAAGCGAGCAAAGGAAAATAAGAGCGAATGTGATTTTCGGCCTCAAAGTTTGAACGCTGCCAGATGTCTCGTCTGGATAATATATATCAGATAAAATTTGAGGAATTTATTTGCTCCTGAAATGGAGGGGATAATTCTTTTTATCATAATAAAGCAAATAAAGTAAAAAAATCTTTCTGTTAATGAGAAAATATCGTACATAAAAATATTGTATAGTACATATAAAGAGAATAACATATATATATATGTATAGTACTACTTCTTAGCATATATCACAAACTTCTGATTTACTGAAGTGTGTATAATTTATATTCGAAAAAAATAATTTTATATAAGAAAGGATTTTTTTTTTTAAAGAACATACATTTTATATCTTCCGGGATTCTTTTTTTTCTTTTTGAATATAAAAAAAGTATAGTTGAATATATTAAATCTTTAATGTATATTTTTTTAGTAAAAGGATTTTTACACTAACATTAAAATTCTAATGTTATTTATATAATATGTTGTATACATACATGCAGCGCGTGTGGGCGTGTGTGTGTGCGTGTGTGTATGTGCACACGCGCGTGCATAGTGCTTGATATGTGAGATATTACATTTCAATTTTCTTTCATGAAATAATATTTTTCAATGTATCAGTTTTCCTATCTTAACAAAAAGATAAATAATTTTGTAATGCAATAAACTACTACATTATTATTGTGTTTGATATACATAGAATGATTAATTGGTGAGTGTTGCAAAAAAGGCATTCAAGTTGCAAATTATTAGAATTGTACTATTATATATACAGGGTGTATCTGAAATGATGCATTAAACTTTAGGAGCATATTCTAGAGGTCAAAATAAGATTTTTTTTCCTATGAAGATACACCCTGTATATATATATATATATATATAACACACATACACACACATACATATACATATAATTTATTTTAGAAAAGAAAGAAAACTAAAAAAGCAACAGTCATATTTATACATGTAACACGACATATGTTCGCATAATTGTTGTATAAAAAAAGGAAAATAGATTTAAACATAGTGTACACAGTATAACACATACAAATGAAAATTTTAATTGGAATTAAATTAACCATCCTGAATATCAATATCAATACTATTTACAACATTAACAATAGTAGATTTCTATATAGATCACGTTTAATATATTGATTTTATAAGAATCTCTTAAAATGACTAGTATATGTACCAGAAATATGACAATAAATGCTATGTAAAAATACTGAAAGTAAAATGATTCAACAGTATATTCACGACGGATAACTAAATGACTAGTATTGTACAAAACCATTGCGGTAAATCCGAAATCTTAAACTTTTGTCTCTATACGCAGTATTTTAACATACTTGGATTATTAATATTAATCGATACTCTTAATAAGAACTTGTTACACAGAATCGATTTTACGATGTACAGGATGTTTTAGAATTCATTCAGGAATCATAGGACAAATTTCAGGGCATGGTAAATTTCACCAAAAGAATCAATTTTTTCCAGAAACTTATGTCCTCCGACGCGTTCTTAAGGAGGTACGCATCCCTGTTCGGACCACCTGTGAGGTAGATCGCGCGATAGCATTACGTCTGACAATACTAATCCACTTCTTTTTAAAAGAATTAAAAAAAAGTAAAAATTAAAGGATATAGATTAACATTGTCGATGTCACACGCAATGCTGTCGCGCGACCCGTTGTCTATTTCACAGGCGGTTTAAACAGGGACATCATGTAGCTCCTTAAAGACGCGTCGAAGGATACGAGTTTTTTAATAAAAATTGATTCTTTTAGCGAGACCTATCATCATCCTGAAATTTGTTTCACGAGTCCTGAAACACCTTGTATAAAAATTTCGAGATGGAATCAGACTAACTCTACTTGTAAGTAACACCGAGAAAATGAGCTTTGTAATAAATTCTATAAAGGTGTCTTTTGCATAATAATTTAACTAAGAGATAGATTTTTGGAAGTTTGTACTTTAGGAAGCTCTTGAACTTTTTCAATTACTTTCTTTTTCATATATCCGTTTCTCTCTACAAAATTACATTAAGTATAATATTATATCAACGGAAGAGGTTGAAAGATATTCTAATTTGTTTGTGTACTTTATATAAGTATATGTAATACTTATTTTATACTCGCATTAAAGTACCTAATTAATACATTACTTTCACGCTTAAGGAATTATAACTGACAACAAATTACGACTGACAATGAGATTACAACTGAGATAGTAAACGTTGTATGCACAATGACGTTTACATTAAGCTCTTCCAAATCTTAGTTTGATGAGAAAAATCGAATATTTCGATTTTTCAATATTTGATGATACATCAAAAACGTTTCAATTGCTCGTAAGTAATGAAAAATATAATATTCCATGGTCCCATTCTAAACCACGTCGGGATGAAACCTTTGTACAGTGCTAAAACTCCTTCATATTTAATCGTCTATGAAACAAAAAAATATTCCTCTTATAAAAGGATATGTTAGAAGAAACAAATATGCATACATTTTGAAAAAATATATAAGCATTATAAAAATATGAAAAACAGAATAAAAAGTTTTAAATGTGCTGTAAAATTGTTGACAGAAAAGTACTTTATAAAGAAAATTTATAACAAAATTACCATTTAAAAAACAAATTATATTAGGTATCTCTCAAAAAACTGACTCTTAAATAATATCATTTAAAAGACAATTAAATAGATCTCAAAACTGACTCTTTATTCTAGCTTTCGTGATTGACGCAAATGTATATACGTATATTTGTAAAATATAAAACAAAAATCTTGGATAATTAAAATTTTATACCTGAACCAAGCAATCTATACTGCCATTGTAAATATGTGACGAAAGCTTATTGTTAGCGACGTGCACTCCTCTTTGATTCATCAATCGTGTCTAAAGAAAAGAGAAAATATGTGTGTATGTATGTATATATATATATATATATATATATTATATATACACATACATACATACATACAGATATATGTATATGTATATATGAAATAATCTACTTACGCGAATAACATCTATAGGCGTTGAAGCTACAGCACTTCCCATACTAGCTGCAAAACTCGATCTAAAACATATAATGGTGTGTTCATACAATTATATACAGATTACACAATGTATATAATACCTAAATACACATGTTACATCGCAAATTATATTTTACAAAAAATATTTTTTTTTAATCCGTGTGGCCCTTTGATTCGTAAAATTTCAATATTTGATCCGTTTTAAGATCTTTTTATATCGTAATACTATGGATTTTAGATTATGGAGCAAAATTAACCCTTATCCAGGCATTATAGAAAGAATATAAAATATTATGTCTGTGCGCGATGATAGTCAATATTTCGATAAAATACATTTCCAAATACGAATAGAAATAAAAGCATCGACAAAAGAGAATTTTGTCTATAGCAGAAAAATTGGGAAGTTATGTGACGATTCGTTAGTAACTTAGACATTTCAAAGCTCTAAAATACATAAACGCTGACCAATAAGTCTCATCAATGAGTCTTAACAAAGTAGATTAACATGTATAATCATCTGCATGGAAGATTGTCTTAACAATTCTTGTATTAAACACAGAGTGCCGAACACAGCTTCCGCGCGCGTGTCAAGCTTCTCTAGTCATCTCAAAATCCTTCTATCGCATGTGCCCATACGCATGACAATGTCAAAGGACCTGGAAATAAAATTTGAATTTTAGGAGAGTTTTACTCCTTTCTTGCAATAACGCGCAATATATGGAATATATATTGAAAATCACCATTCTTCGAATTACAAATATCGAAAAATAAATTAAACGCAATTATTTCAAAATAAAAATATTAATTCTTGAATCAGAAAAAATTTGATATAATATATTAGATATAGATTAATAAATATAATTAATCAACTTAAAAGTTTCAAGATATATCACGTTTGAAATATATCGAAGACGAGTAATAAACTCTCATTATTTAGGCAAATCCAAGAGTACTTTAATCATCTAGTTGATATTAGATATTAATACAGATTAGGAGATTACACAAAAAGATCAAAATTTTTTTTTCTCAAAAAATACGATAAATTTAAAAATATATGTGTTATGTAGATGAAAACGTGTATGACACGTAAAAAAAAATATACGAATTATTGATGTTATTTTAAACGATATGGTTAAAAAAAGAAGAAGAAAGAGCGAGGAAAGGGAGAGGAGAAAAAATTCGCATTTGGAGTTCAATTGTTAAAATGTTAGAACTTTAAGAGAATTATATATATAAAATGAGGGTGTGTGCGAGAAAGCTATACTCAGTACAAAATATATGATTCATAATATGTACTTTTTTGGAGTGTGTTAAAAAAAAACAACAAAATAAATAAATTAAGAATTATCAAAAAGAATTTACATACAAATGTACTCTCGAGATCTTTTTTTTCTGCCTTCTTAATATTCATTTAATCAATCATTTATATAATAACAGCATTAAATCTTTTTAGGCATCAACTTAACAACACATTACATCACAAACAAATAAGTTGAAAAAACTGTAACGTGATACATACATCCCGATTTTAATTTCTATTATTAAATAGTTATTTGTGCGATTAATCAAGTTTTTTTACAGATACATATGTATTAGTATAATATAATTCACGATTGTTTTAATAATGTTCCCCACACCACACACACACACACGCACGCACGCACACACACACACACACACATATAAATATATACATATATAATAAAAGATAGTAAAACAAGTTGCAAATATTCAGACATATGAATAAATTTCTCGCTATAAATTGTGTCAGTTTTGTTAGAAGAAATAGACATTAGTTGTCCGGATAAGGGTTAATCGACACTGCTAATTAATTATGTAATAAATAATATTTACGTCAATAAAAATATATAATTATATTTATAAAGATAAAAACCTTTGTTTCTGTAAGTATATAATAATCTTTTTTGTTAAAATGCGTATAATTTAGCATAATTATCATAAATTTAAAAATAGTCGATATCGCAATAGTTAATGAATGTATTTCAAATACTTTGCGTAGAAATAATATCTACATTATCGACAAGAAAAACTTACACGAAATGATTACTAATGCTGTTTCCCAATATACTCATACATTTATTCTTGGTATAATCATATATAGGCAACTCTACAGCCGCGATAACGGCCGCTCGTTGAGCGGTAGGCCCAACACCCTATAAAAAAAAAAAAAAAAAAGGAAAAAGAACTTTATTTATCTTAAGATAAAAGATAAGTATTATAAAGGAAGACCTTTAAGAACTAAATCATAAATAAGATAGAGAAAGGACAATTAGAGCCAGCACAGTAAAACATGGAAGTCTATTTCTTATTATTGTCCGAGAATATTCGTTCATTATCCATTTATGTTTATGGACATCTAAAACACAAAATACTGGCTGAAACTTTATCAACTTCTCTATTTTATTTACGATTTATTTATCTATATTTGTTTATACACACACATATACACACGAACGCCTATATAAAGATGCAGTTATCGATAAAATCGATTGTCAGTAGAAAAAAGTAGTATACGCAAATAATAACGCTTTTAAGTTAAATATTTTATACTTTCAAACTTTGCGCAATAAATATGTCTCGAATTATAATTTTCTATTTAATATCGAAACAATCAATATTGAATTCATGCGTCTGTAAACACGTCCATCTTAAAACTTGCGCGTACCAATTAAAGCAACTAGAAATTGTGCGATTTATCATTGTAAAAGTAATAAAATGTCGCAATATGTAACTAGTTTTTTTGTTCTTTTTGGTTTCTTTTTCTATACACAACTCAAAAAATTATTCGCATTATACATATATGCCGCAACATTGAAATAATTATATATCTTAATTTGATTTCAAGTATCCGTGTACTCTATGATTTTTATTTTAAAATACGCGATATTTATAATAAATATGTGTATATAGGCGACAAGATAATATATTTAAAAAAAAAATATAAATTACCCTCCAAAGCCCACGAATACCTTCATGTTTATATACATCTTGGAAGCAAGTAAACAGTGATACGTTCGTAACGTTGCCAGTGACTTGCATACGAACTTTTACCACATCAGTAGGATTGGCTATCGCACTTGAAATAGCTCCAGCTAACGCTGCGCAAACAATATTTATCGTGAATAAGTCATCTATCGCCCACGTATCAATCACAGCTTTCTTAAGAGAATAATATGTGCCAAACTTTATCGTTCCATATGTCGCTTGACGTAAGATCGCAGAACTAATCCTAGACAATAAATAGAAAAAAATAAATCGCCATTAAAAATCGCTAATATATTCAAAATTTTATAAGAACGACGTAATATATAAGTTACAAACTTTCTTTACTATTATTCCATCAGCATCTAAATTAATCATGAAAACAATTTTTTTTCAATTAAATTATTTAAAAGATTATTTAATATTTAACGATATCTAAAACAGAATACTAATAGTGGAATATTATATATTAATAACATTATTTTTTTTTACACAAAAATATTTACCCAGAATATAAACCTTTCATTCCTTCTTGTTTCGATATTTGTAACAAAGCATCCGTCATACCAGAATATCTTAAACGTGCAAGTTTTCGATCATACTTTTGACCTTGTACTTGCAAGCGTGTTTTAGTCGTGTCTAAAGGAAAAGTACCTGTAAAACATTACACATTTATTTAATCCAGACTGACGTTACGAAAAAAATATAAAAATTATTATATCTGATTTAATTATCGACTTACAAAGTTCCGCAACAATGGAAGCTAAACCTCCATATACAAAAGGTCTCCAATCTTTCCAATTTTTCTCTCCCATCACCAGTTTTAATCTATTACGCGAGACAAATATAACCAAATATATGTAATATAAATTAATAAGTTATAAAAAAAATATGAAGATAAAACATATATATGTATAAATTTTCTTTTAAAATTTTTCTTCCCTTATTTATAATAATGTTACAGAAACATGAAGTAACGATATATTAGTACATCATGTATATATGTATATTTCAGGTTAGTTCTCGCAGATTCTACATTACATAAATTATTATTCAATATCTGTACGTATGCGCGGGTGTGTGTAATAGGCACGACAGGTCATTCGAAATGATGAAATATCAGACGCTAATCAAATCTTTAATAACAAAAGCAAAGATAAATTATGCATTTTAAGTACATTATAATGTTATTAGGTTAAATAATTTACCTGTAATTGTTATTAAACGACTCGACACAATAACATGGGGTCAATTATGGAAAAATTGTATATATAGCACACGTAGAATAAATAAAAGCGTAGAACATCTACACACTCACAATCACAATAATTCGAATAAAATAATTCTCCTACTCTACATCAAACACCCGATTTATACCTGTCGATCGAGCGGTAGTGAACACGTCAGGTAATATAAAGGTTGCGTCAAAACAATAAACATAAAAAAAAAACATAGATACGATCTCAATCTCAGAGTAAAGCTCGTATCAGGGTGCAAACATATGCAGCGGAATAGCGTAAAGCCCGTATCAGACTACGCATTGAAAATTGAAGATTCAAGATTTAAGATTGAAATTTGAGCAATCAGGACAAAGAAATTTTAATCCCTTTTGTTCTGATTATTCAAATTCCAATCTTTAATCTTCACTCTTCAATTTTCAATGCGTGGTCTGATACGGGCTTTATGGCCCTCGCACACTGGACGCGATGAGCGATGAGCGATAGGCGATATCCAATGAGAGCTCTGATTTTCCGAACGTCACATCCGTCGCGAGGGTCGGCGCGATGTCGCTCAAAAGGTTGGTCAAGTCCATAGACATAGTATATCTAGACCGAGTGTTGAAGAGTGGGGGCCGATGCCCACGTCTCCTTAAATAAAGACAAACGCTCGGTCTAGATATACTATGTCTATGGTCAAGTCTCTACTTTCGTCGCTCGCGATGCGCGAAAGCTGGCGACAATCATAGACTTCACAGAGAAAAAATGTACGATATTATACAAAGTGATATCATGGACCATAATTATTCAGAAATGAATTTCGAGAATATAGAGAATAGGAAAATAAGTTTATGTTCATTAAATTAGTATTATTTTTATTATTACGATTATATACAAAGTGTCCTCGACCACCCGTACACCCCTTTTCTTTCAAAAACTAAGTATTTTAGAGAAAAACGTTTTGAACAAAAATTTTATGGTTTCGAGGGGAACATAAGATGGTGTCATCGGTTTGACCTTGGATGGCATCGTTAAGGTCAAGTCAAGGACATCTTTAATTTCTTAAATAGAACTCCCTATTTTTTATTGCATATTCTTATAGCTTATCCCGAGATCTTTCCAAAACACTATAATAAAGTATTTTTTTATTAAGTACTTTTTGAGTTATTTTATATTTTAATCTGACATATTTTGATATAAAAAATAAAATATCTCGTAAAATATTTAGTTTTCGATAATCTTACCGTAATACTTTTATATACAGAATAATGAGACAAATCAATTAGAGTTAAGAATAAAACAAATAATTGTTTTAAAAAATACATTGTAAATATTTCCATACTTTCTTAAAAACAATTATTTTTTTTTTACTAATTGATTTGTCTCATTATTCTGTATATAAAAGTATTACGGTAAGATTATCGAAAACTAAATATTTTACGAGATATTTTATTTTTTATATCAAAATATGTCAGATTAAAATATAAAATAACTCAAAAAGTACTTAATAAAAAAATAATTTATTAGTGTTTTGAAAAGCTTTCGGGATAAGCTATAAGAATATGCAATGAAAAATAAAGGATTCCATTTAAGAAATTAAAGGTGTCCTTGACTTGAACTTAACGATGTCATCCAAGGTCAAACCAATGACACCATCTTATGTTCCCCTCAAAACCATACAATTTTTGTTCAAAACGTTTTTCTCTAAAATGCTTAGTTTTTGAAAGAAAAGGGGTGTACGGGTGGTCTAGAACACCTTGTATATAAAACTATTTATTATTATAGATTTATTTTTGTTTTTTTTTGTTTGTATTTAATATTATTATTATATATTATACGACAGACATTTATATGTATATTTATAAACAACAAATATAAATGGAAATCGTAAAATAAAAATAATTCGAAATACAATTTAAGTTTCTTTATTGCCCAGTAGAGTAGAAAAAAAAGAGATGAGTTTAGTGGTTTTTTTTTTTTTTAAAGTTTTTATTAACTTTTTTTAAAAAATATTGTTTTAATATGTAAAATGTTGTTTAATATAAAAAATGTTGTTTAATATAAAAAATAAAATAATTTAACATTCGTTTCCAAACGTATTAATTTACAAATGTATATTTGTATTTACAAATAAATGATAGATAATTTTATTATTAAAAAACGTCTTATTCATCTGTTAAAATATCTGCCAGTAGCTGATTTCAAAGCGTGCTATATTCATACAATTATAAATGTGACATTTATAAATTATGTTATGGTTTTAAGTTAATTACTTCATTTTGTAAATTTAAAGTACTTACCAGTATAGCATTATATTTTGTGTATATTTTCTATTCTATATTAATGCAACATTTTTAAAATTTTTTTACTTTTTTTTTTATTTTATTAATAAATACACACACTCTTTACTAATAAACACAATGCCAATTTAATTCAATTTTCCGATTGTTGCGTCGCTCGTTGCGCTCAATCGCTTTATATCGCGTTCAGTATGAACAAGGGAAAATAAATTTTCACGATCTTGTCGCGCATCGCTCATTGCTCATCGCGCATTGCTCATCGTGTGTAGTGTGCGAGGGCCATAACGCGGAACAAGAGCGGAACCAATCGCGAGCGTTTCGCAGTTTTCGCAACGTGAATTTTAGGTTCCAACATCCCCATGGAGCGTAACGATCGCACCGCAAACCAATGCGTATCCAATTACGAGTAATTATTTCAAAAGGAATAAAACCGCGTTGAAACTTATTTAACTTTTTTTTTTTTTTTTTTCTTTTTCTAAATCAATATTTCCAATAAGAACGCATTTATTTATTTCAATACTTAAGTACATAATAATAAAAAACGACTGATAAAAAACAATATTTAACTTAATGGTTAGCTTTCGGGTCAGGGTTACGGGTTTCCAGGAATTTTGCCATTCTTTTATTACAGAAATCGAAAATTGGTCCCACAAAACAGATTCTGGCGTTGGTCCCGTGTCGATATCGGTCTGCGTTCCTTAGTTATAGAGGTCCAAAGCGTCCATTAATATTGTTGCGTCCCTGCGAGTCTGTGGTAGTTAATCCTGAAGTTGCTCCCGTCTCTAAGAGATCATCTTCAAACACGTCGCTAAGGGTTGTTGAAAAACAACGGCGGACATCTTGAGAGAGAGAGCGGCCATCTTGAGTCTTGCGACGGATGTTATTCCGGGCGGACATATTTGAGATACGATTACCGTTATTACCCGTTCTGTGTTCCTTGTTTAATTGTGTGTTCTGTGTTATTATTAAAGTTTCTTTTGTTCTTTTAAAAGAGTGTTAATCATTTACGTCGCGGTATGCGAGTGCCGTTTGTGTCGCGCGTGTTCGAGTATTATCGAAGTCGACGCGCGGACGAAACAATATTTTGGGTCCGTAACTCGGAAACCGTTGACGGGGGAGGGTTGT